TACTAAGAAAACAAAATCTTCACCACTGGACCAATAGGCAAAATCATGATAGATAGACAGAAGAATGACATTATCAATGATCTCATTTCATTTCGGTTCACAATCAATACCAATGGCAACAGCAGTAAACACATCAAAATACATGTTGCATTGCTATCAAGGTCCTCCCCAAGGTACTAAAGAGTAAGGATTTCAGTTTAAAGACTAAGGGACACCTGATGCAAGTCATGGTGTTTTCTATTGCTTTCTTTGCATCTGAAATTTGGAAAATAAATGAGGAATATAGCATTGTTGTTATTGATTGCTGCCGAGTCAAGTACAACTCATAGCAACCCTATGAACAAAAGACCTAAAGCCTTTCTGTGACTATCATCATTTGTCAAAGTACAAAGCATAACATTAGGATTTGAGAAAGATTAACAATCTGTTCTATGAATATAATAAAATTTTGATTTTCAAAAATAATGGACATTTAGTACACTGAGTAAGTACAAAGACTACAGTCTTCAAGTATGGATTACAACTCAACATAAAGAGAATAGAATCTTTAAATTGGAAAATAAATAATATAAAGATACTTATGTCCATTAAGTTAATCTCTACTCCTTTTTTCCACAGATATTTCTACATCAAAGAATTTTCTCTGTGTGTGTGTGTGTGTGTGTGTGATATTGAAATATTTTTATTTGAAAAATTATATATTTTTTATTTTCATGAAGTTTACAGAGGCTTTGGATTTCCATTCATTAATTGCTGCACTTTTCTCCCTGCACATCCCCCCACCCCAGGTCAATCTTCTCTTTGAAAAGTAAAAGAAAATTCTTTTATTGTTATACAATCCCCCAGCCCCCTGTCCATTCTACTATGAAGCTTTCATTCTGGACTCTTGTATGACAATAATACCTAATCATATATCCCTTTTAAACAGTTCTCTCCCCCATCTGTTTCAGTGCAGTATACAATATTTATCCCATCTTTCTCAGTCTCCCCCCAACCTCAGTGTCAGTCTCACTTTACAACAGTAACATTATGCAGTATCAAGGAATTTTCTTATGTATACCTTTTTTGTTATTTTTAAATACTTGTTTATTTACAAAGTATGAATTCATAGTTTTTCACGTTGGATCTTTACCAATGCCTTCACCCCAACCTCAAGCCATCAAATTGTATGACCCTATGATTAACTCCCTCCCCCTCATCCTCATCCCTCTGCTTCCACCTTCCTCCACCTTAGATCTTCATATTCATCCTACAATAACAGTTTTATTCAGTGTTTGTCCTTATGAGAATGAGTTACTTCACTCAGCATAATGCTTTCCAATCCCTCCCAATATAGGTAGTAATTTACAAAAGCATTGCTTCTGCGTGCTGCATAGTATTCCATCTTGTGAATGTACCATAATTTCTCAATCCATTCAATTGTCTTTGGATGTCTGGGCTGTTTCCATGTTCTTGTGATGGTGAATAACGCTACTGTGAACATTGGTGCACAACTCTCCATTTCTGCCTCTGTTCTCATTTTCTTGGGATATATTCCAAACAGTGGAATAGATTTTTGAGAAAGTGTCAAACTGCCTTCCAAAATGGTTGTATCATTTCACAGTTCCACCACAGTGTGTAAGAGTTCCTATCTTGCCACATCCTCTCCAACACTTATTATTATTTGCTATCCTGTTAAATTTTGGCACTGCTACTGGAGTGAGATGGTATCTCATTGTGGTTTTGATTTACGTCTCTCTTATTGCCAATGATTTTGAGCATTTCTTCATGTGTCTGTTGGTCATTTGAATATCTTCCTCTGTGAAAATTCTTTCCATGTCTTTTGCCCATTTTGTATTTGTATGATCCGTCTTTTCATTGTTGAAGCCCAGTAGTATTCTGCAAACTTTCATGAAAATAACAATCCTACCAAAAGCAATTTACATGTTCAACGCAATCCCAATACAGATACCAAAATCATTTTTCAAGGAGATTGAAAGGAATATTATCAGGTTTATTTGGAGAGGCAGGCACACAGAGTTTCCATTTTATAGTTGTTTTTGTTGTTGTTGTTATGTGCCATTGAGTTGCCTGCAACCCATAGCTACTCTATGTATAAAGCTCTGAACCCTGCCCTATCCTGAGCCACTTTCAATGTTTCCAACACACCTACCCCCATTACCCAGTCACTATGTCAATACATCTCTTCTGGGATCTTCCTCTCCTGCACTTCCTCCATCACTCCAAGCAGGTCCATCTCCAGTGACTGGCCTATCCTGGCCACATGCTTGAAATATGTGAGATAGGTTTAAAAATCTTTGCTTCCAAGGAGCAGCCTGGTTTCACCCTCTCTAGGATAAACCTATTGTTCTCTTAGCAGTCCATAGTTTGTTTAACACTCTTCTCCAGCACCACAATTCAAAGGCATCAATTCTTCTTCTGCCAACTCTAGTCATTGCTCAGCTCTTTGATACATAGCAAGTAATTGTCAAGACCATGACTTAAATCAGGTGCACCTTAATCTCTATACTGACAGCATTGCTACTTAGCACTTTGGAGAGGGCCCTTATCGCAGCTTCCCCCAGAGCAATTCGTCTTTTGCTTTCTTGATTGCTAGGGCTAAGAGTGTTGATGAGGAAAACTTAAATATGCAGAAGTTAACTTACATAATCACACAGTTAATATTTACTAGAAGTAAAGCCAAATGAGACTGACTAAAGTGCAAATTGTCTTGTTGTTAACTGTAATTGCATTATCTTCTGAATAAATAGAAGAGTCAACTATTTAGGAAATCATACTTTTTGTATTTATTATTAGTTTAATATTCTATGTAGATGCTGTGTTTCAGAATGTACTAAAATAGCCCCGCTGAGGAATAGGCTGGCAGGCAGAATAGACCTGCTTTGCCCTGTGTTTTCATAAATATCTTCTTACAGACAAGGGGCACAATTTTGAACAATTGTGTTTATGTTGACAATACTGCTTGCCTTTGAATAATAATGATTCATAGCAAACACTTTTGGTTTGACAATAATGATAACAACCACAGTAATACACATTATATTTTAGAGTAGACTTTCACATAATGACTTTAATTATGTAATCTGTAGAGTAACAAACAGCAGAGATTGTGAGAATGGTGCAGGAGAGAACAAAGGTCTGATCTGCCAAACTTCTGAGTTGAAGCTGACCCAACAGCTCTTAATAACTGTGGTAGCTGACACAGGGAGCCTTGCTGTCTCCCTGTAAGTTTAAAGTACTCACTTCTAACCAGTAGATCAAGGGCTCAAACTCTTCAATCACTGTGCCTGAGAAAGCTGTGACAATCTCCCTCCATAAAGATTTAAGCCTGAGAAACCTATGGGGCAATTCTACTCAGTCCTATTTGGTTGTCATGACTCAGAATTGACTTAATGACAGTTTTTATTGTAGCTAAGCAACAACGGTGGTGACACATGGTTAAGTGCTTAATTGTTAATCGAAAGACTGGGGGTTCAAATCTACCCAAATACTCACAAAGAGAAAAATCTATTGATCTGTTCTCATAAAAATTAAAACCCAAAAGTCAAACTCAGTGTCGATGAGTCAATTCTAGCCCATAGTGACCCTATCAGACAAAGTTGAACGGCCCTTCGAGTTTATAAGGCTGTAATTCTTTTCAGAGTCCGACTGCCTCTTCTTTCACTCCTGGAGTGGCTGGTGAGTTCTAACTGATAAATTTTTGGTTAGCAGCCAAAGGTCCACAGCACCACCTGAACGGAATGTCATAAAGACCACAATTTAGAAAACCCTCTGAAGCAAACAGCTCTATTCTACCAACGGCTCTTGCTGCAGTGAAAAATCAACATGATGATCCACAACAAACCTGATGCTAACATTAGTCTGCACTCTCCAGGAGAGGAAGTCATGGCCCTGAGGTGGGCCCTGTTGTTTTCGGAGTCTACCTGACCACCCCTGGCCTTCACAGGACATGGTAGTTTCTCACATCACCTCTTTTGTTTAGTGAGAGGGATGATGGTGGTATCATTTCTGAGTGGAATATTTAATTACTGAAAATGGAAATCCTTAAGAATTCATTTTTACTTCACCTTGATAACTGATGATATTCTAAACATATTGTCCACTTGAGATCCAAAGTGAAGACAATATAATACCTTCAGCTCACATAATACATGCATAGCTTGAGTAAGAAATAGGCACTTAGAATCCCAGAGGCGCACGGTTCAAATCCACCAGATGCTTTGCCGAGGAAGGAGGGACAATCTCCTCCTGTACCAGTCAGATCTGATTTGACGGTACACCCACACAAAAATAATAAAAAATATTTAAAAAAAAAAAAGAAATAGGCACTTAGATTGAGTTACAGAAATATTAGAATTATATATTACACTATAACCAAGCTTTCCTGATTAATACAGGTTCACAGAATAGAAATTACTTATCCAGTATGGCATAGTTGGCATAGTTTGCAAATTTTAAAAATAATATGTCAATGCCATTCTCTAAGCTTCCTAAGTGCTGTTCTCTCCTTTAGGCCTCAACTGGATTCAACAGATTCATTGAGCCCAAACTAAAATGTTTCTAGCAGTTTAAATATAAACCTAGGTATGATCTGAATACTTGAGCTTTAATTTCTACTTTCTGGTGTAGAAACTTGAAATTTTATGTATTTTATAATTAGGCTAAGCCACCCATATTTAATCTTTACCTCTCTGTAAAATTGAGAATACTTAGTTAACAATTTCCGCCTGTGGTCGGGGGAAAATTGCTTCTCCTTCACTTCCAACAATCAAATTGGTCAAATGGGAATTAGCAATTAAGTGACAAGAACTATACCACCACCTCCCAGGGTGTGGTGTGGTGTGGCAAGAGTCTCTCAGGTTAATACTGACTCTGGATGATCTCACAGGAAAGGTGGAGAAACAAAGCCTTGGCATTTAAGCACAACGTCTTTCCTAGGTGCTGGCTGGTGCAGCTCTAGTGACAGCCTGAGAAGTGTCTACACCACAGCCACCTCCACAATGAAGATCTTTGCGGGTCTCCTTGTGCTCTGTATAATGGCCCATGTCTGCAGCAGTGCAAGTGTTTCAAGAGGACTAGCAAAGCATACTGTAACAGGTTTGTCTAAATATCTCCTCATGAGGTCAACTTCTGTGTGGTTACCTGAAATTAAAATGTACTGCTTTGTAGTAAGAGAGCTCTGGTGGCATAGTCTACGGGGGACTGGTGCAGCTAACCAAAGAGGGCAACTCTGGCGATTCAAATTCACCAGTGGTTCTGTGCAAGAAATATCGGCAAACTCCTCCAATGTGATTTACCACATTTAATGTGATTTCAAGGCTTTGCTTTATATTTATCCTGTACATGTGCATTTTTCTTTCAGAAGTTACCAGTCCACCTTCAACAAAGGTGAGTATATTGAGTAATATTTTACTATCTATTGATTGCCATTTAGTCAACAAATACTTACGAAGAATGCTAACACAAGATTAATTCATTGTGTTTAGAGGGTTAGTCAGCAAGGCTGATAGATGAAGAAATGGCCTCTGCTCTCCGGAAGGTAGCAAATATATAAATATCCATGCCCTAAATAAACATTTCAGTATTAAAGGATAAAATCATCTTGAGAAGACAGGGACGTTTTCATGGAACTCACAACATTTGAGAGCAGAGCAACGTTGTCCTAATTTAATTTAAAAGGCTCTGACTTCATGTTTCATTTCTATGACTCAGCACTTGTATAGTTCAAGTTACCTTCCTAAGCCTAAGTAATTTTCCCAAGAGCTAAAATTTCTATATAGTTGCTGTGAATATAAAAAAAATACTTGGTGCATAAAACTCAGATATGTTCAACAATTCTTAAGAATTGTTAGGTGAATTGACATGACAATTATTAGTAATAGTAGCAGTGGCAATAGTACTGGGGTTTGTCATAAGGGTAATCTACATAATTCTGGAGGGGGGGAAGGCATAACGTGTTTACAAAGATATCTTCCTAGAAAAAAATGTTCTCACGTTCTAGTGGCTAGAGTTGCACTTCCAACCCAAAGTCAGGCAGTTCAAATCCACCAGCTTCTCCATAGGAGAAAGATGGGCTATCTCTTCTCAGGTGATCTCCCGGTGATCTGAAAATCCACTGGAGAGTCAATCATAAGTCAGTTTTTACTCAATGCAATAATGAGTTTGAGTTTGAGGAAGAAAGAGTGGCTGGCAAACTGGAAAAAACTGGCAAAATGTGGAAGGTAAATGGTATTTGTGGAAAATACCATATTATAATGAATAGACATAGTAGCAACAGCATCAGAATTTCTGATACTGGTACTTTCAGGATTCTTTACTGCTTCTCCAGTAGGGCCTAGGATAGCTTAACTTGGGAACTGGGTGTGGGGAGGGAAGCAATCTTGCCTCTTGTTTCTGTCACAGGTGGACTGCAGCGTTTATAAGAAGTACCCCGTGATGGCTATCCCTTGCCCCATCACATACCTGCCTGTTTGCGGTTCTGATTATATTACCTATGGGAATGAATGCCATCTTTGTTCTGAGAGCTTGTGAGTACCTCACACGAAGGATAAGGAAATGAGGTCTAGTGTTCTCCATTAAAACCCTCTCTTTTTCAAGGATCATTCTTAACTTTTTAAAAACTGTGTTCATGCCCACCCTAAAACTAACGGTGGGAATGAAAAACTAAATTCATCCAGTCCGATCAGGGTTGGATGCAAGTTGGGTATTTGATTGGGTCCCATCTGTCATAGAACCTCTAATGCCCTGGGTCAATTGAAAGAATCAATAAGACCATAGCCTTGTGTATCAAGTTGCTTTCCTCGGACTCAGAAAATTAAAAGTTTATCAAGAGTCACCAGATGGGTCAAAAGGACCACATGAGGTGAACTCAAGTCTTGCCTTCAGCTTTTTGTTGTTTTATGGAAGAATGACATACACTTTCTTTGTTTAAAGAAAATTTCTGAGCTCACTCTTCCCCCACCAAATAAGTAATATAAATACACTATTCTGACATATTCTGACACTATTCTATCATATTTAGTCTCAGTATATTTTGGTTCTTCGATAAACTCTGGCTACTGGACTTTAATCTCAGTTTTTTGGAGTTGGTATTTTTAGCTTATAAGGAGGTTGAAGTTAATACAAAATATTGACATGACAACAATTTTCCTCTGTTTAAGAAGATTTCTTTTATTTAAAAAAAGGCAATTTTCTAATGTAGGTTAAACTTTTGGCCTGGAAAACTGACTTATAACAGATGTTAAAAACACCTTTGGTGTGGTAGAAGTCTTTCGTTTTTCTTAGTTAATTGTAATTCAGCCTCATCCCAGGTCCTGCAGACCAGAAATCAGGAGTTGGTCGCCTCAACTTTTCTTATCAGAATCCTGTTTGTTTTGTGATTTCAAGTCATTGATTATTAAAAAAAATAATTTATTATTAAAAAAATAATTAGTTTTGAGATTAGTGGATGCAGCAAGGTGGGGTGAAATCATCATTGGTAAGGAGGTATTCTGCTCCAGCCTCTGAAAGAGACACTGTGTGGCAAAAACCTTCTTCCTTCTATGGGATTCAGGTCCTTCTTTTTTTTTTTAAAGGCTCTATCTCATGATCTCAGTATTTTCTTGGCATTTCCTTTTGTGTTGACTAATCATTTATCTGTGTCTTCCCTTAGGAAAAGCAATGGGAAAATTCAGTTTCTTCATGATGGACACTGCTAATTTTCTATGTTAAATGAAAAAAGAGTGGTTACATCTACATCCTAGCCTTCTTCATGATCCTTGGATGTTGACTCCCTTTATCCCATCTTAGTTGATTTGCTAAGCAAAGGTCAGAACCAGATTCAAAATCACCACTGTTCAGTGAAGAATGAATGTCATTGTGCCCTTATCCCTGTAAACTGGTGTTTATTGTGTTTAACTTAATAAAAATATCTCCTCAAATTCTTTCTTTTTACTTGTGTTGGTATTTTTTTTCTTATATGAAGATATAATATATCAGAATAATATCTATCACAGAAAATTGTGGTTATGATGAAGAGTACTGAATATTGTATGGACTACTAAAAGAAAACACAAGTCTGTCTTAAGGACAGTATAACTAAAATGATTCTTAGAAACAAAGATGGTGAATCACTGTCTCATAACTTGGGGCATATTTTTAGAAGGAAGAAGTCCTTTAAGCCACTGGAGGGACATTCTGGTGCACTAGGGTTACTAGGTGCCATGGAATATGTGCGAAAGGACTTTGCTACAATGCCTGAAATCAGGCAAATAATACTAAGAATGGATGGGACTGAAAGCAGTCTCAGACTTCCTGGAGCATGTACCAGTATGAAAGGGATCTGGAAGGTCTCTGTTAAACAAAGACTATTTTCTAAAGTTCTTGACTAGGTTGTTGATAATGCAGTACCTTGTTCATGAATACAAAGATGTTTTCTTGAAAACTGTTCATGCCTAGCTTGCTTTGTTTCATATTACCTATGCTTTGTTCCATATGTTTAAACATTTACCTACTCTATGAGATCATGTTTTGCTGTAAGCTTTGATTTTCTGCTAATAAAAGCAGAAGATTACTATCTCTCAATGTCATTTGCCTGAGAGAGCAATGACCCTTTGAAAACCCACATTTCTTCTCGCTGGTCTTCTCTTGACTCCATGAACACACAAACAACAGGCATCATGCTGGAAAAGGTATAGTTGGTTGGCAAAAGATAGGAAGACTCTCAACAAGATGAATTGATACTGTAACTATCACAGTGGGTTTGAAAACATGATAGAGATCTTGAGAACGGTACAGGATAGGGCACATTTTAAATCTGGTCAAAAAATAAAGATACAGCATCACATAAAAATAAATACATTAATGAATATAAAAAGTTTATTGTTCAGAGATAATTTTGGAAAGGTAACTCAAAAGGCTTCCAAGAAGCACACACATATAAACATCAAGAGATATTCCTCGCTTTCCTGAATCTTTCAAGTTTATTAATGAACAGTAAATACTGAAAACTAGCTTACGTGCCATCTTAGTTCTTTATATTGCTCTCTTCCCTGAATTCTTAAAAGCAAATCCTTAAAGGAGGTTTACCTGTCCATATCTTCCTGTAACTTCTCTTCTCATTTCATCCCTTGTTGTCTTCCTAGATTGCCTGTAACAGAGCATTTCTGTCCCTATTTCATTGATTGAGGCTGGTTGTTTGAGATTCTAATATTAGCTGTCTGTACAATCTGCAATATGCAGATGATACAAC